GCCGCCGCAGCCCGCACCCCGCGCGCGCGCGTCCCCTCCTCCGGCCCGAGACAACTTGCAAAAGTCTCCCTGCGCCGGGCGGGCGGGCGGGCGGGCGGGGGAGGGGAGGGGGGGAGGGAGGGAGGAGGCGGGGGGAGGCGGCTCGCGCGGCGCCGGGGGCGGGGCCTTGACCCCCTCGCGCGGGCGGGCTCCGGCCGCCCCTCCCCCGGCGGGGCCCGGGGCGCGCGCCCCAACGGCCCGCGGCCGCGCAGGCGGGTAGGCCTCGCCCCGCACCGCGCCCCGCACCGCGCGCCCCGCACCGCGCCCGCCCCCGGCCCGCGCCCTTTTGTTGTGCGGCGGCGGCGGCGGCGGCGGCGGCGGCGATGATGATGATTCAGCCCGCGGCCTGGTGGCGCCCGCCCCGCCGCCCCCGGCAGGACGCGCCGTGACGCGCCGCGGCCCCCCCGACCCCCCCGACCCCCGGGCGCCCCGGGCCCGCGCTCACCACGCGCTCCTTGGTGTGCTCGGGCTCCGTGATGACGACGGCCGCGCCGCCCGCCTTGGCCGCCGCCGGCCGCGCCGCGCGCTTGCCCCCGCCGGGGGCCCCGTCGAGCTCCAGGCCGTCCTCGTCGCCGCTGCTGCCGCCGCCGCTGCTGCTGCTGCAGCGCTCGGGCCGCTCGCGCTTCCTGCCGGCCGGGCCGCCGCGCTTCCTGGGCCCCGCGCGGGCCGTGCCGTTGCCCGAGCTCGGCTCCTCCCAGGCCGCCGCCGCCGCCGCCGCCGCCGCCGCCGCCTTCTTCCTGGGCATGGTCGCGCTGGAGGAGACACGGGGCCGCGGCGCACAATGGACGGGTTATAAACTGCGCGGGGGGAGGGGAGCGCAGCCGAGCCACCGGCCTCCACTTCCTCCCCTGCCCTCCCCGAAGTGGCGGCCGCGGGGTGGGCGGGGAGGGGGCGAGCCGGGAGGAAGCCGCGCCTCCCCCGGGGAATCCCGCACGGCAGCCCGGGTCCCCCCGACCGCAAGAGCAGAGGGGGGGGGGGGAGAAGAAAAAAAAAAAAGAAAAGAAAAGGAGACACCCCCCCCCCCGGCACCGGCACCGGCACCGGCACCACGTCTCCCCCGGCCCATCCTCAAGCTAGGTTTGCCTACGTCGCATCACCATTGCAGCCTGGTCCCTTCCCCCACCCCCACCCCCCCCCCCACAAAAAAAGTAAAGGGAAAGAAAAAGGAGCCTCCGAGGGCCCAGGTGCTAATTAGAGAAGAGGCTCCGGGACACTCCGGGGACCCCCCGCGCGCCCCCGCCCCGCCCCGCCCCCGGCCGCCCCACCTGCTGCTTTTGTCCGCGCGCCCCCTCCCCGCCGCCCCCCTCCCGTCCCCTCCCCGCCCCGCCCCGCCCCCGAGTCCGCGCCGGCCGCGGGGCTCCCACCTCGGGGTGGGCCGGCCCCCGGCCCCAGACACCTGCTCGCACACACGCGAAAAATAAGAACTTTAATGCTGCCCCAGTCCGCCGGCCCCGCCGCCCCCGGCCGCCAGGCGCCCCGCTCCGCCGCTACTTTGCCCGGGCTCCCCTGCGCTCTCGCCCTGCGTCGGCTCGCGTTTTTTTTTTTTTTTTTTATTGATTTTGAACAATGGGATCTCTGTCTGTCTCCGATTAAACCACGTGGATCCGCCTTCCTTCCCCCTTTTTTTTTTTTATTCATTCAATCCCCCAACTCCCCCCCCACCACCACCCCGTCTCCTCCTTCCCTCCTTCCTAAGGTTTTTTTTTTTTTTTACCTTTTCTCCTACCAAAAAAAAAAAAAAAGAAGACGGGTTTAAAAAAAAACAAAACAAAAAAAAGCAACTTTTTTTCTTCCCCCCCCCCCCCTCCGATCCCGCGAACTGCACATTGTCGGTTTTTTGATGTTTCGGTCCCTACCTGGCTGGAGGGATGAGAAACCGGGAGAGAGAACGGAAGAGGAGCAAGTAAGAGAGGAACCGGGGGCGCGCGCCCGCCGCCCCGCCCGCCGCCCCCCCGCCCCGGGCCGCGACCAGGGCTCCAGCCCACTCACCAGATACACTTAAAATGTAAATACGAGCTCCCAGGACAGACGCTACAACACAAAACAGAAACACATGTGCGGCCGGGCGGCAAGCTAGCGCGCGGCGGGGCGGGCGGCGCGGGGCCCGGGGAGCGCGCGCCCCCTGCCGGCCGGCGGACCCCGCGGCGGCCCCGCCCCGCCCGCGGCCACGCCCCTGGCCACGCCCCCGCCCGCGCCCCCGGGCCGGCCGGCCCACCCGAGCCCGCCCCGGGCGCCACGCGGCCACCCTCGGGCCCCGCGAGCCCCGCGCGCCACGGGGTTCTTTGGGGTTGAGGAGAACATTAGATTGCTTCCCCCCCCCTCCCCCGGGCATGTCTAGACAGGTCACCTGAGGACACTCGCTGGAAAATAGTTACTTTGCTCACGCATCCGCCGACCGGGGACGTGCCCTAATTGAGCGATTGGAATGAACGACGAATACAGTTTGAATGATTTTTTTTTTTTTTCCTCTCGTGCGGAGGGAAGCTGCTCTTTACATGCACCGACCGAGGATGTAGTGTCGGCCCCAGGGTGCAGCAAGGTGCTGCTGCTACCCCCCACCCCCACCCCACCCCCCACCCCCAACCGCCCTCCTCCACTGGTAGACTTGCAGGAAGAGATTGCCTGTGTTCCTGTGTTCCCAGGTTCGGGAGCTGGCTAGCGGTGAATACGCAGGCCAAGGATGCATTTAGAAGCTGGTTCTGGTGGAAAGTTCTCGTAAATAGTGCCTGGGCCACCCCCCACCCCCGTGCCTGCGAGACACACAGCGCTTAGGTGCTGGCGGTTCAAAGCCAGAGGGTGAGATTCCTGTCTTGGTGAAACACACTGTCTGACGGGAGACGGATCACTAAATAAGTAGTCACAGGTGCGACAGGTGATGGTGTTCAGGACGCACCACCTCAAAACACGGCACCTCGGTGTAGCAATATTGTAAGCTGAAGGCGTTTTGAGAAAGCCTGCAGAAGCTGGAAGGTCACTGATAACTCCCTTGCCCCCACCTACACCCCTTCGCTCCCATCCCTTCTTCCCCTAAAACAGGTCATAAAACCCTCAGGTAAGGGGCACCTGGGGGGCTCAGTGGTTGAGCATCTACTTCGGCTCAGGTCATGATCCCGAGGTCCTGGGATCAAGTTCCTCATCAGGCTCCCCAAGGGAGCCTGCTTCTCCCTCTGCCTATATCTCTGCCTCTCTCTTTCTCTCTCTCTCTCTCTCTGTGTCTCTCACGAGTAAGTAAATAAAATCTTAAAAAAAAAAAAACCCTCAGGTAAGAGATGCCCTCCTCATCCCAGGAGGAAGGGCACATCCTCTCCAAAAACAAGGGAACACCCAGAAGAATCCTAATACAGGACCCTTCCTAAGTGTCCCCAGTCTCCTACACCTACCTCTTACTCTTTGACCTTCACTTGTCCTCCAGCACCATCCACTCTCCCATCAAAAGTGACAGAAAAATGCCTGGGTCTGTTTATTTTGCTCTTCATCGCATTATGAGGGCTCCCATGCCACGTAAAACTTCTATTAAAATAAACTCGTATGCTTTTCTCCTGTTAATCTTTGTCAGCATGATTTTGCAGACCCAGCCAGGAACCCTAAAGAGGGTCGAGGAAAGCTTTCTCCTCTCCTACACAGGTGTAGCAAAGTCATCCCCGTGTCGGACCTTTGCGGCAAGGGAGCTCATCCTGTTCTGGGTTCAGGGAAAGCCTCCCCTCCTTTGGAAAGTTAAGCCGAGTGACTTTCAGGATGGATAAGACCCACGAGATGAACAGCGATAAGACTCTTCCAGGGCACATGGAGGAAGAGTAAACACAAAAGCCCGGGAACCTTGAGAGAGACATGCCATGTGGAGGAGAAGCATCCCATGGGGCGGGTGGAGAAGAGCAGTGCGGCTGGAGCCGGGATGTAGCAAGAGCTAGATCACGTAGCGCCTAGTGAACCATATAAAGGATTGATTTTTCTTAGAAGGTCTGTTTGCTCATCCTGGGAGGTGGATGACTTACCACCCACGTGGGGGGTGGGGGGTGGGTCTTCCCTCCCACGTTACGCCCGAATAGCCCGTGGTCTCCTTTTTTTTTTTTTTTTTAAAGATTTTATTCGTGAGAGACACACACAGAGAGAGAGGCAGAGACACAGGTAGAGGGAGAAGCAGGCTCCACGCAGGGAGCCTGACGTGGGATTCGATCCCGGGTCTCCAGGATCACACCCTGGGCCGAAGGCGGCACTAAATCGCTGAGCCCCCCGGGCTGCCCAGCCTGTGTTCCTACGGAAGATTTTTACCTGCTTCCCTTTGTCTTAGACTTACTGCCCCAAGGAAGTTCCTTCTTTAGACAAATTCCCAAAGATTAGGATAGAGTTCTAGGCTTTTTTTTTTTTTTTTTTTTTTTGCAATTCATTCATTCCTTAATCATTACAGCAAGAAGCAGGATTCAGGAGGCAACAAATGTCTAGAGGAAGACAGAGACACCAAGGGACCCAAATCTAAGGTATTTGATCAGTCCAAAGTCTGTGTGTCCAGGGAGCCAAGAGCACTTATGTAAGAGAACTTTAGAAACGAGAAATCAACTGGTACTTTCCAGAGATTTTTCAGATAGGTCAAGACAGGGAATAGAGACGCCCTTTGAAAGCCTCTTCTTAATAGGTTTGCATTTAAAAAAGAGATTTAGGAGATTAAACCTTGATGCTTGCATATAAAACACAAGTAGAACCAACCAGAAAAGAATTTTGCCTAAGTATGCCATCAAGTCCCCTTCAGGAAACGGCATGCTGGCGCTTGCCAGGCCTCCGGGGTTGGTTGGGTGTTTATCCTCCACAAACACCCTGTGTGGCCAATTAGGAGAAGTACTGATAGTACTTTTAGATTTCAGCCCGTGAGTATTTTTCCTTTTTTTTTTTTTCCCCTCTCTCCTTCCCCGTGATAAGGCTTTTTGCCAGCGCAGAAGACACATGCGTCAGGAACACTGATGCAAGGAGACGCTAATATCGGATTGCGTCATGTGATCCTAGGTGTGGTGCTCCTGAAACTGGTTTTTCTGGAGGTTGTGCTGCCGTAGAAAAGCACTCTGGAGATAACACCCAAGAACTGGCCCTACTCGTCAGATGGCAGGAGTAATTTTTGCATGTACATGCCTCGGTTCCACACCACTGTTCTCCTAGGGAAAGGCGGTGTGGCTTTCCGGGCTGAACCGGGCGTGCTGGGGACAGTCATCAGGTAGGCGTGTCGCGCTGCCGCTTATGTAATGGATGCGCTACCTAGGGAGGTGCACCCACCGGGCCGGCTGGAAATGACACTTCCTCCTCCAGAGCGCGCCCTGAATTGTATCTCACTTTAATCGAGCAGCGTCTCTGGGGACAGACTGGTTCGGTGCAAAACTGGGAGAGGAGAATTGAAGACGGTGGCTGAGATTTCTCGGGCACTTCCTAGGCGGCCGGTACTGGGTTACAAGCACTTCACACGAGGAACTCTGGAAATGTGGGTTCCAGCCGCCAGCCCGCTGCCACTGAACCCCACGACAGGCTGCTTGGCCTCTCCTGGTGTCCGGTGAAGTCCTATGTCAGGTTAGATCAGAGGCATTGAAGGGCCCTCCCAGAAGTGGAATGCCGTTCACCTTGACCACAGAAAGCTGTAACTCCAGAGTCTATTAAAGAACAATCGGGGAACCTGGGTGGTTCAGTGGTTGAGCGGCTCCCTTTGGCTCAGGGCGTGACCCTGGGGTCCTGGGATCGAGTCCCGCATCGGGCTCCATGCAGGGAGCCTGCTTCTCCCTCTGCTTCTCTTTCTCTCTGTGTGTGTGTCTCTCATGAATAAATAAATAAAATCTTAAAAAAAAAATCACTGGTCATGAGAAAGATGTTAATGACACATGGACAACCGATCCCGATGGTCAGTGTTTGTACGGCCGGGTTAGGGTAGGATGCTCTAACTTGGATCTCCACCTTCACCGTCCAGCATGCTAGCCACGGACTAGTGAGCACTGGAAATGTGGCTGATACAAATTATGACGTGCTGGAGGCAGAAGGACACCGAATTTCAAAATCTTAGTACGACAAAAAAGAATCTGAAATATCCCAATAATTTTATCATCCTGATTGCATGTTGAAATGGTCATATTTTTGGCATTAGGTTAAAGGAGTATTAAAATTAACATCACCTGTTTCTTTCTACTCTATCCAACGTGGCTACCACAAAATTTAAGATTACTTATTTAAAATTTTGTGGTTCACATTTTATTTCTATTGGACGACCTGCCTTCGAAAGCATAGCTGGAAAACCAGTAATCGGCTCTGGACCCAACACTCTCTGCCTCTGTTCTTGAGGCTTCTCGCCGGTTAAATGGCAAGATAGAGTTTGTACTAGATTTCTTTTTCTTTTGGGGTTACATCTAGAAGAAAAATCCCTGATTCGGAGAACCATAGTTGGTGGGGGAAGGATCATTACCATAGTGTCGGGAAACATGTTTTCTAGAAGAGGAAACTCTTATAATTCCATTTCTGCCAGTCAGCCATGAAGTTTTAGAGAACCCAAAGGATCCTTAAATACTATCATTGGACATTTAAGCAACCCAGGCTGCAAAGCCCTCCCAGGCTTGTGGTTTATTCATCTTTGTTTTCCCAGCAAGCACCCAGGGCAACCGGACATGAGTATGCTGTCAATTTATGTTTGTTGACCTATGTAATATCCAGATGAAGAATCGAAGCCCAGAGAGGTTCTGCGACCAATAAGGCCACACAGTGGCTGCCAGGTAAGCTCGTTCTAGGAACCCTTGGTGTGGTCCCTGGACCAGCAGCAGCTGCATCATTTGGATGTTCATTAAAAACACAGAGTCTCAGGCTGAGCCCCAGATCTATTGAATCTGCATCTGTGTTTTTATCAGGATCCCACAGGTTTGGGGCACCTGGATGGTTCAGTTGGTGAAGCGTCTGCCTTCGGCTCAGGTCATAGTCTCCGGGTCCTGGGATGGAGCCCTGTGTATGGCTCCCTGCTCAGAGGTGAGTCTGCTTGTCCCTCCACCTCTGCCCCTCACCCCTATTCACGCTCGCTCTATCTCAAATAAATAAATAAAATCTTAAATCCCATAGGTAATATTTATGTGTCCTAAAGAATGAAAAGTCATACACCTTTTCTCAAGGGAAGCCTCACCGTCCCCGTGAGAGTTATTCTGAGCCTAGTTCCAGGGAGAGAAGACATAGGATGCCGGACACCAAGCCTCACATGCTGGCTGATGAAGAACAAGATTTAAGGAAATTCAACAAATATTTACTAAACCTCTGTCCTGCCCGGCACCTGGAGCCGGTGCCCCTGCTTCTCTTCCTGAGGGTTTGCAGGGCTTACGCTTTGTAGCCCCGGTCACCTTGGGGAACAAGGGGCCCCTTCATGATTTTCCTCCTACTGGTCCCAGTGTTCCTACTTTTATACAAGAGTCCAGAAGAGGGATCCCTGGGTGGCGCAGCGGTTTGGCGCCTGCCTTTGGCCCAGGGCGCGATCCTGGAGACCCGGGATCGAATCCCACATTGGGCTTCCGGTGCATGGAGCCTGCTTCTCCCTTTGCCTGTGTCTCTGCCTCTCTCTCTCTCTCTGTGACTATCATAAATAAATAAAAATTAAAAAAAAAAAGAGTCCAGAAGAAATGTGAAATGAAAACAGACACGCCTTGGGAGTTTGACTTTTTGGACCCAGGACCAATGGGATCGAAATGGGTTTCATGGATGTCTGCATGTGAGTTTGTAACTACCAGACCCTCCGTCCTGTGCCAGGTGCTTGCACTCGCATTGTGTTTCCCACCTGGGATAGAACCACAGTATATAGAGTTGGACTCTCTAATCCATAGCTCTCCAGTCACTTTTTTCAGACTATCCCTCATCCACGCTTGCCAATAAAAGCCACACTCTGCAGAGATACCATTCCCCCTGGCAGTGGGCAGTATGGATGGAAGGTTGGGCAGAGAGAGAGATAGAGGACACATGAGTCGCAGGCCAGCGAGACGTTTGCCCAGCACCCACTGTGTAATGGAGCCAAGAAGCCAGGGAGTTTTCTGGTGAGGTCAAGACACAGGGTCTGAATAGACAAGAAAAACCCAGGCTTTGGGCTCCGGCACAGAATTGATCATGTGCCTGGGTGGCTAGTGATAAGGCAAGGAGGGCAGCCTGTTTCATGTGTCAGGTGGCCCTGGTGGCCGGGCACCACTGCATTTCAGGCCATGTCATGTCATGCAGAATGATAACAACCCTCGGCAAAGTGAACAAACCCAACTGGTGTGAGCCCCCGCAGTGCCAAACACCTGGACTGTCGGTCAAGGTCTCACAGGGGAACATGGTGAGGCCACGACTTCCCCTAAGTGCTGACTCCCAATCCATTCCTTCTTGTGTGTCAGACAGACCCAGCATGGGGCCGGGGCCTCAGGCCGGGCAACGTCTGTGAATCCCGGGCCCCAGTGGGGGGGCAGGCACAGCCACCTGGTGGAAGGAGCCGGAGTTCCACGAAGGACTGTGGCCCAGCAGGCAGCATGCTCGCTGGCGCATAGAGAGGGGGGGCAGTGGGGCTCATTTCATCCTCTCCAGGGTGTAGGCTCCTCATCTCTGGGTGAGGAGGGGGGCGGGGGGCAGCGCTTCCTGCCGGGCCTGCTCCCGGGGCCAGTGCATTGAAGCATTCCCTAAACTGTCAAGTGCTGTTCCCAAGACAGAGAGCCTTGGAAACAGGGTCGGTGTGGCTTTAGGTTCATGCCGCACGGTCTGCATCTCCTCCTCCTTGACCCTCTCTGGGGGGACTCCACAAGGTCCAAGCCTGGCGGAGCGCACCTGTTCGTGTCTCAGTTTCCCTGTCATGCAATCTTTGATACACCTTAACTCGTACAATGACTCGATGTCCTATGGTTCACTAGAGCTCAACATGAGATGTAACAACGTGAAGGTAAAATATAATAACGTGAGGAATGAGGATATAATATTTATATAAGTTTTGCTTATTTTCAGAGACCAAAATTAATTGTTGCTGACCTCAGGGGCCCCACCCAAGCCATTCCTGGACTTACTCCGTTGTCACCCACTAGCTCTCTTTCCTTGCTCTGCCCCCTGCCCTGTGCCCTCCTTCATTTTCTTAAATCCCCCTCTTCCTAGGACCCCTTCTTTTTTAAAAAAAAAAAAAAGATTTCATTTATTTATTCATGAGAGACACAGAGAAAGAGAGAGAGGCAGAGACACAGGCAGAGGGAGAAGCAGGCTCCATGCAGGGAGCCCGACGTGGGACTCGATCCCGGGTCTCCAGGATCACACCCTGGGCTGAAGGCGGTGGTGCTAAACCGCTGAGCCACCCAGGCTGCCCTAGGACCCTTCTTTTAATGCCTTCTCTTGCTTTCCCTATAGGAGTCTTGGTTCAGTTCCAAAGCTGGAAACAGCAGGTGGAAGGCAGCAATCGTGTGTGGGTTTCTTCGGGCTTTGAGTCTCAGGAAGAGGCACTGTCTTAAAAGACAATGTCCACTCTGGGCAACAGTGGTGCTGGGCATGGGTAGGGCCAGGGCCTGACTTCTATCCAGGTCCTGCGACTCTGGGAGCGGACCCTGTGAGCTGGCAAGTCTGCACTATGGGCTGAGCCCCGCTGTGTGCAGAACCCTCCCGCGGCCAGGCCTGTCACCCACCCATCACGGCCTTAGATTAGGCCCCTCGACAGCACCGACGTATGATACCCGCAAGCCGCAGCTTCCTCTCTTCATGCAGCAGATCAGGCAGTAGGATCAGCATGAGCAAAGACCCTGAGGTGAGAACACATTCTGTTCTCTTGGGCAAAGTGGAGAAGGAGGAAGAGGACGATTGTAGACCAAGTAGGTGCCAGCCCTATGAGCTGTGTGGTGTGTGGAGATAGCAGTTAATTTCGTAATGGACAGGGAGGCTCAGAGAGGTTCTGAGGGTCAAGGATGCTCAACTGGTACCTTCCAAGGTGATAATTGCGACTCCGTGATTTAGAACCCACACTCTTTATGCCACACGGCACTGCTCCTCAACTCTGAGACCCGGGCCCCCATCAACGAGATTGGGCTTAGGCTGTAAGCCTGGACCCCCAGGGATCCTCCCTGAAAAATGAAGAGGATGGGCCTGAGCTCCAAGGATGTGCCCCTTGGACATGCACCGTGGACACGCCCTTGAATATGGTCTGTGGATGAACACCACAGACAGGCACTGCAGGTGTGCACTGTAGATGCACACCGTTGGCACGCTCCATGGCTATGCTCCATGGATACACTCCATGGAGACACAAGCTCCACAGATGTGCTCTGTAGACACACATCATAGACATGCCCCATGGATGTGCTCCACGGACACCCATCATAGTCGGGTGCCACGGATGTGCACTGTGGACATGCACCATTGGCATGCCTCGACACGCTTCGTGGGCATGCATCGTTGGGTATGCACCGTGGCTATGCACCTGGTGGTGGTTTTGGCAAGTACACAGATGAACATTTTAAAAATTCCTATTGCTACAAATTTATTTCAGTGCATGTTAGAAATATGTGTGTGTGTATAATGAGCAATCAAATCCATGCTTTCAATAATGAATGTTATGGAGTTCTCTTTTAAACTGCTCAGCCACCCAGAGATCCGAAAATGGGTGTTTATTTAAAGCAAGATACTCTGGGACACCTGGGTAGCTTAGCGGTTGAGCGTCTACCTTCGGCTCAGGGCGTGATCCCGGGGTCTTGGAACTGAGTCCAGCATCGTGCTCCCTGCAGGGAGCCTGCTTCTCCCTCTGCCTGAATCTCTGCCTCTCTCTGTGTGTCTCTCATGAGTAAATAAATAAAATCTTTAAAAAATAATAAAGCAAGATACTCAATCAGGTGTTATGTAGATCTTGAGGCAAGTGGTTCCCCAACAGCTTTGTCTTAAGAGATCAGGATTCCCTGCTCTCCGACCCCTCTCCCACATCTGGGGTTCTTCGGTCTGTGATGAACCGTGGACTCTGATGATCTAGAAAAATTGGGTAGTGGCTGAGAAAGCAAGCCTATTTAAATGTACATACTGAATCACGCAGGTCTGGACCTGATCCACGGAAGACTTCTTGGCTTTGCATGTGTGACCAGGTGTGCAACCCATCATCAAACACCAGCCTGATTATGGGGCTTAGGAAGCAGGAAGCTGGCACCCAAGGAGGATGAGCCTTGCAGGTGGGAACCTGATCTCGGCGTGTCGTATCTAGTGTGTATGTGTGATATATAGTCATTTCTATGCCTATTAGGTTGCTCTGGAAAGTATTATTTTCTAGCTGGAAGCCAGTCCCCTCCTTTAAGGGATGAGAAAACGGAAAGCCAGACAAGGCGAGCTGTCACCCAGCCTGAGCCGAAAGAAGCAGGGCCATGTGTTGTCTCCCCACCACTCGGCCAGGAGCCACCTCGACAGCTAAACCACTCATTATATTTTATCTTCTGGATGGTTTAAATAACTATTATTATGCACACGTTTTTTTTTTTCAAAAGAGTGTGTTTATTACCAAACCTCATTAAATTGCCTGTGTCTCGAGCTGGTTCCCCATCCCAGCCTCGGAGGGAAGGAAGGAAGGAATTTGGCTGGACACAGAAGCATTCCCTTCCTACACGATTACCTAATGCTCTGTGTCCCAAACAGGGTGCTAGGGAATCTCTGGGCAACCAGTCTGACAGGGAGGGGGTTTCCAGATGACTCACGGGGCAGCGGCGAGCACAGGTGACCCCAGGAATGTAGGCAGGGCCCTTCTGGGGAGGCAGAAAAGGGTGGACCCCCGTGACAGAAAGGGGGAGATGGGAAGCACAGACTCTGGAACTGGCCTGCCCACGTTTGCATCCCAGCTCTGTCGCTTGCTGTATGATCTCGGACAAGTTAAAGAGCCTCGCCTCTCTGGGCTTCACTTTCCTCCTCTGAAAGTCAGAATTTGTTTTCTTTTCTTTTTTTTTTTTTTTTGGAAATTCAGAATTTTAACAATAAAAATCTACCTTAAAGGGGTGCCTGGGTGGCTCAGTGGTTGAGCATCTGCCTTCGGCTCAGGTCGTGATCCCAGGTTCCGGGATCAAGTCCTGCATCGGGCTCCCTGCACGAAGCCTGCTTCTCCCTCTACATATGTCCCTGCCTCTCTCTGTGTGTCTCATGAATAAACAAATGAAACCTTTTAACAGTAAAAATCTACCTTAGGGCCTCATTCTGTGGCCCAAGCGAGCTGGTCTTAGAATGGCGCGAGCATGTAGTGAGATGTGTTGCTAATATCTCAGATCTTAGATCCAAGACCCTGGTCAGGCCACAGCTGCAACTGTGCTCACGCCGGGACTTTGGGCCGCTCCTGCACTCCTCTGGACCTCGCGTTACCTCGTGTGAAATCAGGGTGATGACGGAGATTGCCTGGTGGGAGGTAGGAGCAGGCCAGGACACAATCCCACAGCCTGGCGCAGAGGGAGCCCTGGAGAAAGAGGAACTTGCATTAGCTGAGACTCCTGTCCACCTATCATTGGGGCCTTGTGACCTCACACGGGGAGCACTCGGATGGACCCACAGGAGTGGATGCCTGTGACCGCTTGGGTGGCGAGGGGGCAGCAGAGGAGCAGAGT